TTGTGTTCCATTTACAGCTAACCCACGAGAGGCATGACAATTGGAGTGGATAATTGAGGTGGTTTGACAGGTATAGCGAGGTGTGGCTGACTGCACACGAAGGAAATTCTGGCTTCAGCAATTATTAGATACATACCTGTGATATTAAAAGCATGAAGATTTGGCTAGTCAATTCAAATATTAAGTGTCCAGGCTTAAAAATAATTTATTGGGACACTTTCCATTATAAAAATAACACACGCTCTTTATGAAAATTTGGGAGTACAAATCCCCCACCAATAGTTTCATTAACAAAGGATTAATATTGTTAACATATTCATGTAATGACTCATTCTATTGTACCTTATCTACATTCTTACCATATCTTCTGTTACTCTTTTACGCTTAACATTACAACGCAGACATTTTTATATCTTCTTATTGACTGTATTTTTAATAGCTGTATAATATGCAATTGAGTTCATGTGTCATGATTTACTGAAGTATTCCCACTATTATGTAGCATATTTTCAAGTTTTCACTATTATACATAACACTGGAATTATTTCAGTATAAGAATTTTTTGTATTGCATGTAATTTATTCAGATTCCCAGATGTGAAATAGCTGAGTTTTTAAATATCTGCTTCACTTACTACTTTATTCCTAGTACCTAGAACAATGCCTATCACATGGTAGGTATTTTATTAATAATTGTTGAATGAATATGAGATGTTAATTAAGTGGAAAAAAGCTGGCTTGATATGTAGACATCAAAAGCATGTCATAGGCATGTCTTGTGATAGGTTCCAGGGAAGACTTTGTCCCCACTTTTAAAAAAATTAATAAATTTTAATTTTTAGAGCAATTTTAGGTTCACAGCAGAACTAAGTAGAAAGTACAAAGTTCCCATCTATCCCTATCCCCACACACATAACTTCCCTGGCTATCGACATCCTGCACCACAGTGGCACATATGTTATAATTGATGAACCCATCATTATCACCTAGTCCATAGTTTAGGATTCACTCTTGGGGCTGTGGAATTTATGGGTTGGGACAAACGTATAATGACAGGTATCCACCATTGCAGTGTTATACAGAATAGTTTTACTGCTATCAAAATCCTCTGTGCTCTATCATCCCTCCCTTCCCCCTAACCCCTGGCAATCACTGATCTTTTTACTGGAGTAAAATTGTTGAACCACATGGTAAGACTATGTATAGTTTTGTAAGAAACTGCCAAACTGCTTCCCAAAGTGGCTGTACCATTCTGCATTCCCACGTGGCAGCAGAGAAAAAGAATTCCAGTTTCTCCACATCCTTGGCAGCATTTGTTGTTGTCAGTGTATTGTTTTGGCCATCCTAATAGGTGTGTAGTAGTATTTTATTGTTATTTTAATTTGCAATTCCCTAATGACATATGATGTTGAACACCTTTTTTCATATGCTTAATTGCCATCTATATATCTCCTTTAGTGAGATATCTGTTGACATTTTTTGCTCATTTTAAAAGTTGGGTTGTTTGTTTCATATTGTTCAGTTTTAAGGGTTCTTTGTATGATTTGGGTAACAGTCCTTTATCATATACGTATTTTGCAAAAATGTTATCCAAGTCTGTGGCTTGTGTTTTCATTCTCTTAATGAGGTATTTTGCAGTGCAGAAGTTTCCAATTTTCATGAAGCTCATCCTATCCATTTTTTTATTTTATGGATGATGCTTTTGGTATTCTATTAAAAAGTCACCATCAAATTCAAGGTCATTTGTTTTTTTTTTTCTGTTATATCCTATAGGTTTTATAATTTTGTGTTTTACATTTAGGTCTGTTATCATTTTGAGTTAATTTTTGTGAAGGGTATAGAGTTTGTGTCTACATTTTTTTTCTTTTTTTTTTTCTTTGCTTCTGGATGTCCTGCTGTGCCACCCCCTATTATTGAAAATATTATCGTTTCTCCTTTGGATTGCCTTTGCACCTTTTTCAAAAGAATTGACTATGTCTGTGTGGGTCTATTTCTGGACTCCTTATTCTGTTCCACTGATTTATTTATTTATTCTTTGGCTTATACCACACTGTCTTGTAGCTTTTTAGTAAGCCTTGAAGTCAGGTAGTATCAGTCGGTACATTTACTTTTCATGTCTTTTCCCTGTCTTACTGTTCTAATTAAAACTTCCAGTTCAATTTTGAATAGTAGCAATAGTATGTATGAGTTCCACTAGCTTAAAATAAATGCTTGCATTACCCCTTTAAGTATGATGTTTGCTGAAAAAGAAAAAATAAATATCATATTTCTGGTTAAGGACATCCCTTGCTCTTTCTTTTTTTTCTTTTCTCTTTCTTTTTATTTTTTTTCTTTGAGACAGAATCTCGCTTTGTTGCCAGGCTGGAGTGCAGTGGCACGATCTTGGCTCACTACAACCTCCGCCTCCTGGGTTCAAGGGATCAGCCTCCCAAGTAGCTGGGACTGTAGGCATGTGCAACCACACCTGGCTAATTTTTTGTATTTTTAGTAGAGACGGGGTTTCATCGTGTTAGCCAGGATGGTCTCATCTCCTGACCTCGTGATCTGCCCACCTCAGCCTCCCAAAGTGCTGGGATTACAGGCATGAGCTACCATGCCCAGCCAAAAATTTTCATTTTAACAAGCATTCCAGGTTATTCTAGTGCAGATGGTCCAGGGGTCCACACTTTGCAAAAGTAGCTAATCTAAAATGCCATGTGCAGCAAGCACTTTTCCATTTTTCAATATTAGATACACATTCTATCTTTGATTCTGATGGACAATGATACATGTGTGCATTAGGCATTTAAAAAAATAGGTTATCCCTGTCAGCAACTTAGTAATAAAAATGACTTGAAATACCAAAAATGAGAGCATAGTTTATTGATACTTATAAACTTTTTAATCAATGTAAGTGTTGCAGACTAATTCTTATGATCTGATCATAATTTAGTCACGTACGATTGAAATCTGCAGTGGCCCAGATTTGCTCCATTTGTGGACTTTCTCCAACAGTACCCCAGAACAGAGGATTCTAGCAAACCTCAGATCGATAAGGAGAAACAGTATGGGACAACGGGTCCAACTGGCCAGAATGGAACTGAGATTACCAGCTATAAAATTTCAACAGGTCCACTTGATGAAAAGAAAGAGACTAACTGGTGCTACTACTTATTTCTGATATGAAATGAAGCTGACGTCTATGGAGTCTAAGTATCAAGGAATGGTAAAATGAAAAGGTTCCTGGCGGGTTATCCATGCCATTACTAAAATTGTAGCATAATTTTGTAGTAGTTAGAAGTCCAGATTGTGATGTCTACAGCATGGATGAATGAGGTACTGTTAAAGCTGAATGCCAATCTTTATGAGAGAAGTTGAAGGAACATGTACTGCCAAGGATCTGACCTTTACTCCCAGAATAATAATCAGATTGTCAACCTCAAGAGGTAAGGACAGGTCCTAAGAAGGAAGAATGTTCCTTCTGCTGCATTAATGTCATCTTTCATACAAAAATCAATGTGAAGAATTGCCTCCATGTTCAGCCTCAATGATATACAGTATGTGACAATTACTCAAGTGACTGAAATGATTTCCTATACAGACCACAGTGCCACTTTTCTTACATATATGTAAGGGAGCCACCTACTGTCAAAATAGGATCTTACAGCTACAGATTCTCCCATTGCCCCACCCCCCAACTATACAACTACATAAACTTAGCCGCAATAATTTAGATGAGAATTTTGCAGAATTCAAGAAACTGACATAAAATAATTTTGGGGGTGGGAAGGAACAATCCACACTGCCCTGTGTCCTTTACAAGTTGGAAAATATTTATTAAGCAGTTACCTGTTACGCATTGCAAGTCTCAAAGAGAATCCTGGTATGCTGGAATTAGTAAGACAGTTTGTAGTAACAAATGCCCCTGCCAATTTATTTCTTAGTATTTTTGGTAATGCTATCTCTTCCTGAACGTGTCTTTGCCTGTCTCAAGCTTACCTAGCCTGCAAACTCAGCTAAGTCTTACCTTCCCCATGAAGACTCTGCATATCTCCAGCCTGTTGCAGCCTCTCCTGCTTGGATCTCTGTTGCTCTGCTTCATCCCAGAGGCGCACTCCTGTGGGCATTTCCTCATACATACACTGCTTTGTGGTGGTAGCAATAGCTAGCATTTACCATATGTCGGCACTGTTGGACCACTTTCCTTCTATTAACTCATTTAATTATCATATTAACTCGATGAAGTGATTACTTTTATAATCCCCATTTTTTAAAAGAAGAAACTGAGGCCTAGAGAAGTTTAAAAAAACTTGCTCAAGGTCCTTAAGGTTATTAAGCAGTAGTGTCAAAATTTAAACCCATGCATCTGCATTTCCAACTTATTTGTAAGCACTTGGTGGACAAGAACTATGTTCTAAAATTCTTTTGAAGTTCCCACATTGCCTAGCCTAGTGCTGTGATCTTAGGGACTGAAGTTCTTAGTTTTATTACAGTTTACTAATTTTCCAGGAAATCAGAAGACCCAAGAAAGAGGATAGATTTTCCCCCATTAATCAGGCTGATAAAAAACAAGTTTGACAAGATACTACAGCAATAATAGAGAACTTGTATTAACCATGTACTATAAGCCTGGCACTGTGCTAAGCATTCTTATATATTATTTAATTCTTACAATAAACCTTTTCAGAGAGGTACTCTTGTATATATATATCTTACGGATGAGAATGCTGAAGCACAGAGAGGTGAAGTAACTTGCCTAAGGTCCCTCAGATTCTAGCCTATGTCTAGCCTATATGCTATCATCTCACACCTACTGTATAAGAATGCTTATTTATGGCGGGGCACGGTGACTCACATCTGTAATCCCAGCACTTTGGGAAGCCAAGGTGGGTGGATCACCTGAGGTCGGGAGTTCAAGATCAGCCTGACCAACATGGAGAAACCCAGTCTCTACTAAAAATACAAAATTAGCCAGGCGTGGTGGTGCATGCCTGTAATCCCAGCTACTCGGGAGGCTGAGGCAGGAGAATCGCCTGAACCTGGGGAGCCAAGATCATGCCACTGCACTCCAGCCTGTGCAACAAGAACAAAACTCTGTCTCCAACCCCCCAAAACAAAACAAAACCTATTTACAAGGGGATTTAGAAATTGCAGTGAATACACCATGAGGAAGATGGCCTTCTCCCATAGAACAATGACTCCTAATTTTGTAGGATTGGTACAGGAGGGCGAATGTCCACAGAAGGATTGCATATTCCCAACTATTGATGTCTCTCTCCCTTGGCGAGCTCGAGTTACAGCTGCCATCACAGAACTGACCTCATGGGGGCACTGCTCCCAAACCCACAGCAATCCTGAGGCAAGGCTGGAACATTTGAAAAAGGATTTACTCAAGTCCAGGGTAACAGGACAAGTACACAACATAGAGCACCACAGTCTGGTTACAAGATGTGGCTCGCTCTCCAAGTCTTGAACAAAATAAATATTTTTGACCCTCCTTCCTGCAGTGGCTCCATTCTTATGTTTATGACAGAAGAGCAATCACCTGGCACCTTTCTCTTCAGTCAAGCCCCTAGACAGCTGGGTGCAGGAGGAGGTGGAAGTTTCCAGTGGTGTGAGAATTTCTATTTCCTTTATCAAGGCCTGGCACTTCTACATATGATGGCATTGTAGATGACCACTCTCTTGGGGAGATGCCTCCCCCTTCAGCTACTAGCTCCGGGAATGAGACCTGCTCTTAAGACTTACTCCTTGCTATGGTCTGAATGTTTGCGTCTTCCCAAAATGCATATGTTGAAACCTAATCCCCAAGGTGATGGGTTTAGTTAAGTAGAGTCTTTGGGAGATGATTAGGTCAGGACGGCTGAGCCTTCATGAATGGGATTGGTATCCTTATAAAAGAGACCCTAGGCCAGGCACAGTGGCTCACACTTGTAATCCCAGTACTTTGGGAGGCTGAGGCGGGAGGACAATTTGAAGTCAGGAGTTCAAGACCAGCCTGGCCAACATGGTGAAACCCTGTCTCTAGTAAAAAATACAAAAATTAGCCGGGCATGGTGGTGGGCGCCTGCAGTCCCAGCTACTTGGGAGGCTGAGGCAGGAGAATCGCTTGAACCCGGGGGTGGAGGTCACAGTGAGCCAAGATCATGCCACTGCACTCCAGCCTGGGTGACAGGGCAAGACTCTATCTCTAAATAAATAAATAAAAGAGGCCCCAGAGAGCTGCCTTGCCCACTTCTACTATGTGAAGACACAGCAAGAAGATGCCATCTATGAATCAGAAAGTGGGCCCTCATCAGACACCAAATCCGCTAGTGCCTCGATCTTAAACTTCTCCAGAACTGTGAGAAATAAATTTCTGTTCTTTAGAAGTTTCTCAGTTTATGTTATTTTGTTATAGCAGCTGAAACATTAAGACATACCTCAAATGGACACCATAATGTCTAACTAGTCTATATAACATATTTACATGTACAATAATAGGTACAAGTAATAGCTGTCCACAAACCAACTCCTGTGGACAGGGTTTCAAGAGATGAAAGGAATCCTTGCACCCAGATGTCTAAGAGTTCAAGAGAAGCCAATAAGGTGAAAGGGCTCTTGCTAGGAGCACATCCTGACAATGCCGTATGCATGTGCACATGGGCCTGTGAGTGTGGACGAGAAAGGTGGTACATGTATTTTTGTTTCAAGATATTGCCTCTTGGGGTGCTAGTGACCGGGAGATCACTGAGAAGACTGCATGTGGAGACAAAGTGGAGGACAGCGCCTTCGGGATCCCTTCTGCCGGCGCTGCCTCCAAACCTGTCTGCCTACTAGTGCCAAGAGCCTGACTATGTTGTGGAGACCCAGACCCACGCTTGTAGGAGCTCAAAAGGCTATTCACTGATTTATATTAAGGGCTTGATTGATGTTTTTATTTTTATTTTAAAAAATAAACTATTTCTTTATTAGGCAACAATGCTTTACCTAGAAATTTCTTTTCTGGAGCTTGACTTTGGCCTCAGTTTGGTCTTTGCCCTCTACTGAATCCTCAGCTCAGCTAGCCTTAAAATATAAATATATATCAGAGTATCCTGATAGTACTCCTGGTGATATCTAAGCACAAATGCAAGTGTGATAGTTGTCAGAATCAAACTGGAATTGCTAAAGTTAAGAAAACCCTGACAAATAGAGCCGGGAAGGCCACAAAGAGAGGGTTCGCATCCGTGTATGTCTGGTAACAAAAACTGTCACAAAAAACTGCAAAACCCACAACCTTGCACAAAGGCCATTGCCACCTTACACAAAAAAATACCTCTGCAAAGACACCTGTCCCACAACTGCCTGTCCAACCTCAGGCTGGCATCACCCTTGTTGTTGATCTTTATAGCCAAGGATAATTATTTCAAAACAATGATGTAATCCTCCTCATTTTTTTCCTTTAAAAACCTTTGTCTTTCTTTTCCTCCCTGAATACTCACATAGTTTACTATGGCATGCATACTGCCATTGCAATGCTCTATCTTTAAATAAATATCCTTTCTTTTAGAGAGTCTGTCTCTGGTTGTTATTTAAGCTGACACAAGTATTCCTAAAACAGGGTCCCTGATGCTATCCTTTTAAGTAAAAATCAGGGTAAGTATTCAAGAAATATGCCTCAAGCTGAGTTCCTGGTTTCTCAGGAGGGATGAAGCATAGGTTAAAGCTCAGAAATGCCACCTGTGAGTAAAACAGGTTGATTGATCATTCATTAAAAACCATGCCTGAGTTCTTCCTTCTCTTCAGTTGCAGCCTTTCAACACACATTGCTCTGCCTGATTCCCCTCAACTCTTGCCCTCCCTTTGCATAGGTAAACAGCCAGATGCACATTTAAGTTTTATCACAGCACGAGGGGCATTTTTGATGAAAATCATATATTTGAAATAATTTAGAAGCTCACCTAATGGAGTTTGCTGGAGATTTTTAGAGCTGTAACACCAAACTATTCCTTCCAGGTGCTCCATATCATCACTCACTCTTTTTATCAATGAATAGTTTTAGGTTTTCAAGGCCAGTCAGTTTCTCTGAGGCACTCTCTGTAATTCTTGCAGTTGCACACCAGAGTAGTGGAGCCTGATAGAGAACACAGGTTCATATATTTTTTTTTTGTTTTCTTTTTTTGCTTTTCTTGAGACAGAGTCTCACTATTGTTGCCCAGGCTGGAGTGCAGTGGTGCAATCTTGGCTCACTGCAACCTCCACCTCCCAGGTTCAAGCCATTCTCCTGCCTCAGCCTCCTGAGGAGATGGGACTACAGGCACCCGCCACCACGCCTGGCTAATTTTTGTATTTTTAGTAGAGATGGGGTTTTCCCATGTTGGACAGGCTGGTCTCAAACTCCTGACCTCCAGTGATCCACCTGCCTTGGCCTCCCAAAGTGCTGGGATTACCAGCGTGAGCCACCATACCCAACCTCATATAGATTTCTTATTCCTATTACAGAGATTCTCAAACTTTCTTGGTTCCCAGCATCTTTAGTGTTTCAGTAATTTTTTCCTGGAAACTCTAGGCCAAAAGAAGTACCTAATTGTTCTGGACCTAGGCCAAAGCAAGTGCCTAATGGGTCTAAACAACTTAATAACAGCAATTTGCGTGGTAGCTGGCAAATGTCACCGTGTTCCCCTTGAAATTTAAAAATGTCCGGCTGCCTCCCTGTGAGTTCACTACAGTGCCCTGGAGCAACTGGTGTAGAGTTCGGGAGCACCATCTTTATGTTTTAGGGCAGTTAGCAAACATTCCTTTTCCAATTCATATATGATGTCCTTATAAAAAATAAAAATTGCTATGATTTCATGTCTCTCTAGAAAATAAAACGGTGACATATGTCAACATGGAGAGATCAAACGCAATGTTAGGTAAAAAAAAGGCAAGTTGCAGAATAATGTGTAGAAAAGAATAGCTTTTATTTAAAATTTATATCTTATTTATGCTGGAAGGATGCACACTCTCTCTAGGAGAGTGGTTATCTCTATGGAGGAGAAAGAATTTGACTGGAAGGAGAATAAAGAAGACCTCCATTTTATCTGCACCATTTTAGATGTGTTATTAAAATATGCAAGGCAAACATGAGCAAATGTTGACATTTGTTAATTCTGGGTGGTGAGCCATAGGTGTGTTTTTTATACTAGTCTTTGGACTTTCCCATATTAAAAAAATTTTTAACCCAGAAAGTATTGAGCAAGAACTAAAATGGTAGATCAAGTATTAGTTTTCTTTTCTACATATGATCAACCCTTATAGCTATTTAATTTAGTTTGGGTTCATAAAATAATTCTTTTCTGGGGTCAGAAATAGCCAGATGATGAACTACATACTATGTGTTCAAAAACCCCAGCTGCTGTGTTTTACAAAACCAGCTGCTTTCTAATCCTAATAAGGTGTAACTTTTGCAACTAATTAGTTCCAAAAGGCAAATTTAGATTTACATTCAGATTCAACACATTATCATGTTGAAGAAGAGACCATATCATGTAGGTTTTTAAAAACTTTCAGTATCTTGCTGGGCGTGGTGGCTCACACTTGTAATCCCAGCACCTTGGGAGGCTGTGGGCAGATCACCTGAGGTCAGGAGTTTGAGACCACCCTGGCCAACATAGTGAAACCCCGTCTCTACTGAAAATACAAAAATTAGCTGGGTGTGGTGGCACGCACCTGTAATCCTAGCTACTTGGGAATCTGAGGCAGGAGAATAGCTTGAACCTGGCGGGTGGAGGTTGCAGTGAGCTGAGATCGTGCCATTGCATTCCAGCCTGGGTGGCAGAGTGAGATTCCGTTAAAAACAAACAAACAAACAAAAATTCAGTATGTTATATATGGTAGGTATTCAATGAATGCCTTTCGAATTAGTAAAATTAATTTATCTTTACTTAGCATTAAAAAAAATTAACAATAAAAAAACCATTAAGGCACAGCTTTGTGGCAGCTTTATAATGTGGCTTGTAATTTTTATTATTTTTTAAATGTTATTTTAATTTTAAAGTATAATATGTTCATATGGTTTAAAATTAAAAGGTTTAAATCGATATGCCATGAAAAATGAGACTCCATTTAACCCTCAATCTCCAGCCACTCAGTTCTCTGAGAGGCAACCAAAGTGACCAGTTTTTGTGCCTATGTTTAGAAAAGAGGCATTTTATACATATATACACCTATATATGTATTTTACATATATTATATATATGCACATGAATATATATACATAAACAAATACAAAAATTTGTTTTTAAAATAGTAAATACATGTCATATTCACAGCTCTCAATACCATCTATGGATGACATTGATTAAACAATCATTTGGATGTCTAATAAATATTTCAAGTTTTATTTGAAACAAACATATTTCAAATAAGCTCCGCCTGTAGCTTACGCATTCAGTTGATAGCAACCCCGGCCTTCGGGTTGTTCAGGCACCCTTGACTCCTCTCTTTCTTTCACGCTACACATCTAGTCTGTTAGGAAAGTCTGTTGATGACTTTGAAACATTTCCAGAATCTGACCTCTGCTCACCACCTCCTCTGCTGTCACCTAGTCCTGACCACTAGCATCTCTCACAGGGACCACTGCCTTACCATACTCTCTACTTCCACCTTGTCTCTCACAGTCTGTTCTCCACCAAGCACAGAGAGATCCTTTTAAATTATAAGTCATAAATGCCACTCCTCTCAAAACCCTACAATAGACCCAGTGCAGTGGCTCACACCTGTAGTCCGAGCACTTTGGGAGGCCGAGGCAGGTGGAACGCTTGAGCCCAGGAGTTAGAGACCAGCCTGGGCAACATGGTGAAACTGTCTCTACAAAAAATGCAAAAATTAGCCAGGCATGATGGTGCCTGCCTATAGTCCCTGCTGAGGAGGGAGGATGCCTTGAGCCTGGGAAGTGGAAGCTGCAGTGAGCCGAGATTGCACCACTGCACACCAGCCTGGGCAACAGAGCAAGAACCTGTTTCAAAAACAAAAAGCAGGCCGGGCACGGTGGCTCACGCCTGTAATTCCAGCACTTTGGGAGGCCGAGGTTGGTGGATTGCTCGAACCTGGAAGTTCAAGACCAGCCCAGCCAACATGGCAAAACCCTGTCTCTACTAAAAATACAAAAAAGTAGCCAGGTGTGGTGGTGCGCACCTGTAGTCCCAGCTACTAGGGAGGCTGAGGCACGAGAATTGCTTGAGCCCAAGAGGCGGAGGTTGCAGTAAGCCAAGATGGCACCACTGCACTCCAGTCTGGGTGAGATGACAGAGCAAAATGCTGTCTCAAAAACAAACAAAAACAAAAACAAAAAAACAAGCAAAACCCTATAATTGTTTGCTTTTACTCAGAATACACTTCAAAGTCCTGCATTAATGAAGTCCTGCATGTAGGCCCTGCATTGATCTGCCTGCTTTATCTTCCTTGCCTTCATGCTCTGATTCTTTCTGGCTCACTCTGCTCAGCCTTGCTGGCCTCTTCTGTTCCCTGCATTCACCAGACACACTCCTGCCTTAGGACCTTTTCTAGCTCTCTCTGCCTGCAACTCTCTTCTCCCAGATCTTCTTTTGGCCAACTCTCTCATCTCCTTCAAGTCTGTGTTTAAATCTTGCCTTCTGAGGCCCAACCTGACCACAGTTTGTTTGTTTTTTTTTTTTTGAAACGGAGTCTTGCCCTGTCGCCAGGCAGAGTGCAGTGGGGCAATCTCGGCTCACTACAACATCTGCCTCCTGGGTTCAAGTGATTCGCCTGCCTCAGCCTCCCCAGTAGCTGGGACTACAGGCACATGCCACTATGCCCAGTTAATTTTTGTATTTTTAGTAGAGACAGGGTTTCACCATGTTGGCTAGGATGGTCTTGATCTCTTGACCTCATGATCCACCTGCTTCGGCCTCCAAAAGTGCTGGGATTACAGGCGTGAGCCACCGCGCCTGGCCGACCACAATATTTAATAGTGTCTTCCCCACAGGCAGCACCTGGATCTCCCATGGCCTGCTCTACCTTTTCTTTTAATCATAGAACTTACCAGTTTCCAATATACTACGTATTGTTCATGTTTGTTGTTTATCGACTGTCTCCCTTAACAAGGTGTAAGCTCCACTATGGTTGAGACCTCTGACTACTTTACTTATAGATTTATCCCTCCAATGTGATGCTTGACACATAGCAGATGCTCAAAGGTATTTGTTGGATATGTGAAAGAATAAATAAATTATACTCTGTATATTGTTTTGTGTCTTTTTTTCACTTAATGATATATTTATTCAAAAGAGGTATCTTGAAAATCTTGGAAATTTCTTATAAGCACATTGTCTCAGTCTATTTAGTACTGTTAGAATATGTGAGGCTGGGTAATTTATTTAAAAAAATAGGTTTCTTTGGCTTACAATTGTGGTAGCTGAAAAGTTCGAGATTGGGCAGCTGCATCTGGTGAGGGTCTCATGCTGCTTCAACTTGTGGCAGAAAGTGGAAGAAGAGTGGGCATGGGCAAAGAGATCACATGGTGAGAGGGGAAGCAGAAGACAGACACCGAACTGAGGAAGCCAGACTTTTAACAACCTGCTCTCTCTGGTACTCATCAATTCCTGGAGAGGAAGAGCTCACTCATCCCCATGGGAGGGCATTAATCTATTTTTGGGAGTCCTTCCCCATGACCCAAATACCTCCAACTAGTCCCCGCCCCTCAACACCCTCACATTGGGGATCAAATTTCTTTCCTTTCCTTCCTTCCTTCCTTCCCTCCCTCCTTCCTTCCTTTCTTCCTTCCCTCCTTCCTTCCCTCCCTCCCTCCCTCCTTCCTTCTTCCTACCTTCCTTCCTTCCTTCCTTCCTTCCTTCCTTCCTTCCTTCTTTCTCTCTCTCTCTCTCTTCTCTCTCTCTCTCTCTAAGGTCTGGCTCTGCTGGAAGTGCACTGGCATGATCTGGGCTCACTGCAACCTCCATCTTCCAGGCTTAAGCCATCCTCCCACCTCAGTCACCCAAGTAGATGGGACTACAGGCACGTGCCACCACCCCAGCTAATTTTTGTATTTTTTTGTAGAGATGGGGTTTCGCTATGTTGCCCAGGCTGCTCTCGAACACCTGAGCTCAAGTGATTCACCTGCCTCAGCCTCCCAAAATGTTAGGACTATGGTTGTGAGCCACCGTGCCTGGCCTGGGGGTCAAATTTCAATACGAATGTTGAGGGGGACAAACCACATCCAAACATAGTACACATACTATTTTTTCTCTCTCTCTTTTTTTTTTGTTCTTTTTTTTGTAGAGACAGGGTATCCCTGTGTTACTCAGGCTGGTCTCAAACTCCTGGGCTCAAGCAATCCTCCCACTTCAGCTTTCCAAGGTGCTGGGATTATAGGTATGAGCCATTGTACCCAGCCCATTCTTTTTTTTTTTTTTTTTTAAATAGAAACTTATTATTCCACCAGAAAGTTGTATCATAATTTATGTAACTAGCTATATTTAAATCATTTAGTCCTTTTTTTAAAACAAATAATACCATAATGACAATCTAGTCCATATGTTATTCTGCATGTGTTAGAATATCTGTAGGATAAATTCCTGAAAGTGGAATTTCTGGTTCAAAAGGTATATATATGCCAAAGATATTGCCAAACTGAATTCTATACTTTCACCAACACAGTTTTATAATACTATTTTTTGCCAGTCTCAGATTTTAAAAAGTCTTCTCAGTGTAGTTTTAATTTGCATTTATTTTGAGTGATTGAAAAATCTTTCCTATTCTTCAATGATGTTTAGTTATTTTTATATTTTCTATTTAAAATTTTAATCTACTTTCCTATAGGGTTGTTAATCTTTTTTATTGATGCTTAAAAGTTCCTTATATAGTCAAGAAATAAGCCCTTTGTCTGTGATAGGAAATGCAAATATTTTTCTTAGGTTTGTGGTTTATCTTTTGACCTTGCCTGTAGTTTTTCTTTCTTTCTTTTTTCTGTGTTTTAAAATTTTCTTTTACAGCAACATTCCACTGAAGCCTATGATTTTTGACCTAGAAGCTTTTAAACAAATTTTTATGAAGTTGAAGTCATCAATTTTTTATTAATATTGTTTCACCCCTGGGTTTTGTGTCAAAAATAGAAGGTCTTCCTCAATCTGATTTATGTAAAAATTCTTACATGACTTCTTTTCATACTTTTGCAGTTTTATTTTTACTTGTAAACTTCGATCTAGTTGGAATATATTTTGATGTATTACGAGAGAGGATTCAATAATATTTCACCTCAATAACTCTCCAGTTGCCTTCAAACCATTAACTGAATGTCATGTTTTTTCCCACTACTTTGAAATGCCATTATATTGGTTTGTTTTCTGTTGCTTATAACAGAATATCTGAAACTGGGTAATTTATAAAGGAAAGGAATTTATATCTTACAGTTTGGGAGGCTGAGAAGTCCAAGGTTGAGGGGCCACAGCAGGTGAGAGCCTTCTTGCTGGTGGGGTTCTCTACAGATCCCAGGTGGTGCAGGGCTTCACAATAGCAAGTGGGCTGAATGTGCTGTGTATGCTAGCTCAGATCATTCTTCCTGTCCTTTTTTTTTTTTTTTTTTTTTTTTTGAGATGGAGTGTCATTCTGTCTCCCAGGCTGGAGAGCAGCGGGGCGATCTCGGCTCACTGCAACCTCCACCTCCTCAGTTCAAGCGATTCTCCTGCCTCACCTCCTGAGTAGCTGGGATTATAGGTGCCCGTCACCATGCCAAGCTATTGCTTTTCTTTTAAAGCCATCAGTCCCACTCTCATGCTAACCCATTAGTCCATGAGTGGATGATGAGATTGCTCATCATCTCCTCTTTTTTTCTTTTTCTTTTCTCTCTGTTTTTTTTTTTTTTTTTTTTTTTTTTTTTTTTTAAGACAATCTCCCTCTGTCACCCAGGCTGGAGTGCAGTGGTGGGATCTCGGCTCACTGCAACCTCTGCCTCCTGGGTTCAAGAAATTCTCCTGCCTCAGCCTCCCAAGTATCTGGGATTACGGGTGTCGACCACCATGGCCAGCTAATTTTTGTAGTTTTAGTAGAGATAGGGTTTCTCCATGTTGGCCAGGCTGGTATCAAACTCCTGACCTCAAGTGATCCACCCGCCTCAGCCTCACAAAGTTCTGGTATTACAAATGTGAGCCACCGTGCCCAGCCCCAATCTCCTCTTAAAGGCCTCACCCTTCAATGCTATCACATTGGGGATTAAGTTACCAACACACGAAATCTGAGGGACACATACAAACCACAGCAGCGATCTTTGTCATATATTAAATTAATAAATGCATAAGTGTATTGGTATCTCTTTCTGGAAATTCTATTCTGTGCCACTGATTCTTGTGTCTCCTGCCCCACAACTACTGCTTCCATTTCTATTGGTCTATAGTGAAAAGGCTAGTGCTCTATCATTGCATTTATTGTCAGAATGTCTCCAGATATTCTTGCTGCTTATTTTTTAACCTGAAATTTATAATCAGCTAGTTTAGTACCTTGCAAACAATATCAATACCAAAACCAAGATAGAGACAAAGACTAAGACCAACAAGAGCAACAACCACAACGCTGTGGTATTTTGTGGGTTCCTATTATATTCATACTCTTCAGCTCCAATCTTAGCTATCGCCTTTAGCATATTTGAATCACGACAAACAAAGTCGATTTCTGTTTTGTCTCTGAATCCTTCCCTTTCTTCCTTCCTCCCTCCCTTCCTTTCTTCCTCCCTCCTTTCCTCTCTTCCTCTCTCTCTTTTTCTTTCTCCCAGGCTGGAGTGCAGTGGTGATCTCAGTTCACTGCAACCTCCACGTCCTGGATTCAAGTGATTCTCCTGTCTCAGCCTCCCGAGTAGCTGGGATTACAGGCCCAGGCCACCATACCCAGCTAATTTTTGTATTTTTAGTAGACATGGGGTTTCGCCATGTTGGCCAGGCTGGTCTTGAACTCCTGACCTCAGGTGATCCACTTGTATTGGCTTCCCAAAGTACTGGGATTACAGGCATGAGCCACCACGCCTGGCCAATTCTTTATTTTTTTCTTTTTTTGAGACAGTGTCTCACTCTGTCCCCCAAACTAGAGTGCAGCGGCAGGATATCGGCTCACTGCAACCTCCCATGCCTGAACTCAAGCCATCCTCCCACCTCAGCTTCCCCAATACCTGGGACTACAGGTGCTTGCCACCACAGGCTAGCTTTTTAAATTTTTTGTAGAATCAGGGTTTTGTCATGTTGCTCAGGCTAGTCTCAAACTCCTAGGCTCAGGCAATCCAGCTGCCTCAGCCTCCCAAAGTGCTGGGATTACAGGTATGAATGACCACACCCGGCCCGAATTAATTCTTTCTGAATCAACTTCTGGTTGTGGCTGCTATCTTAGTTTCTCCTTCATCATTGGTTTGGACTGTTGTTCTGGGTTCTGTGCTTCAGCAATCCTGATATCCTTCTATTCACTTCTTCTCAGTTCATGCTATAGCATAATTTAAAGCAGTTTGTTCAAAATTGTAATTATAAAGGACTTACCAGAACATACCTTTCATTCGCTTCTTTTAGATAGAATTCTTATACTCTTGAAACAATCTTTCAGTCATTTCAATTCAAACTGGAGTTTGTGATTCTAACCTTTACATTTTTAAGTACGCTTTCCACTTGAGTTCTTCAAGATTTAGACAAACGACCGGTTTCTATGCAACCACGCAGGTGAAGGGCATGTTCTATCTTGCAGCTTTCCATTCCTTAGCAATGTGCTTCCATCTGTAGTCAATAAATATACTCCACAGGGAAAAAGAGAAAAACATGAATTGTCCAAAATAATTCTTACATTAAATGTCAGCAGGCATTTTATAAGATTAATTTTTTAAGCTAAAATAAAAGTTCTACCCACCATTGACTAAATATATTTTAAAGCCTACAGGCATAAACTATACTTCACAGACATCTACATGAATACATAAAAGACTGAAGAAACCAAACATGATAAAATTGGCACATTTTAAAAATTAGAATAAAAGCCTGGAGAATCTGCATGAGAAATGCAGAACAATATATGTCTTGTGGGGATGAAAAATAATAACCAACAGTTGGTGTACAGATGCTCCTTGACTTATGGTGGGATCAAGTCCTGATAAATTCATTGTAAGTTGAAATTATTGTAAGTCAAAAATGCATTTAATACCTAATACACTGAACATCACAGCTCAGCCTAGCCTACCTTGAATGTGCTCAGAACACTTCCATTAGCCTGCAGTTGGGGAAAATCGTCGAACACAAAGCCTGTTTTGTAATAAAGTGTTGAATATCTCAGGTGATTTATTGAATATTTTACTGAAAGTGAAGAACAAAACGGCTGTATGAGTTCTACGGAATGCATATTGCCTTTTCACCATTGTAAAGTTAAGAAGTCTTAGTGTGAACCATTGTAAGTCAAGTACAATGCTAAGCATTCTATTGAGTCCATGTCACGACCCTGTGGACCAGGTGCAATTATTATCCTCATTTTGTAAGTGAAGAAACCTGAGGCTTAATAAGCACTTTGTTGAAAGCCAGCCACTTGCCAACTGGTAGACCAAGATTCACACGTAAGCAGCCCAATCCCAGGTCACTATACTGCTACTATGCAGAAATCCCAAAGTGCTGGGATTACAGGTGTGAGCCACTGCTCCCGGCTTATGAATGATTTTTTGAAATCAGCTTTATTCGGTTTAATAGACATAAAATTCACCAATATTCAGTGCACAATTAGATGCATCTCAAAAGTACACAGTAGTGTAATCACCACTGAAGTCGTAATATGGAACATTTCTGTCATCCTGGAAAATTCCCATGCCCCTTCACAGTCGGCTTCTCTCCCATACTCTCTGACTCTTGGCAACCACTCATTGGTCTCTTTTCTGTCATGAGAGTTTTGCATCTTTTAAAATTTCATATAAATTGAACCATATGGTAGTAGTCTTTGAGGATGAATTTTTTAATTTACATAATGCTTTTGAGGTTTATGACGTCACATGTACGTTACTGACTTTTGAAAAAGAGACAGGGTCTTGTTCTGTTGCCCAGGTTGCAGTGCAGTGGCACATCATAGCTTTTACTGCAGCCTCAAACTCCTGGGCTCAAGCAATTCTCCTGCCTCAGCCTCCCAAGTAGCTAGGACTACAGGCATGTACCACCACAACTGGCTAATTTGTAGAATTTTTTTTTTTTTTTTTTTTTTTTTTTTTTTTTTTTTTTTAGTGGAGATAGGGTCTCACTCTTTGCCAAGGCTGGTCGTAACTCCTGGCCACAAGCAATCCTCCAGATTTGTCCTGTTATTCTTTTTTATTGTTGAGTAATATTACATTGCATGGGTGTGCCACAATTTATTTATTCACCAATTGATGAGCATTTGGGCTGTTTCCAAATTGGGGCAATTATAAATAAGGCTGCTATGAACATTTGTATACAAGTCCTTGTATGGACAAATGTTTTAATTTCTCTTGAGTAAAGTCATACTAGAAATATGACTTCTAGATTCTATGACAAGCAATACAAAATGGTTTTGTAGGTGAAAATCATGAGGATGGTATGCAAATAATTGCCTTTTGTTAACTGATCCCCATGAGCCTACGAAACCATATTAATGTAAAATGGCATCTTTTATTTCAGTTAATTATTTCAATGATCACATCTTTTATTTCTTTCATTTATTTGTAGTTAAAAGATACCAAATTACTTTTTAATTAATTATCCAGAAATCAAGGGATAAAATTGCAAAACAAAATGTCAAATTTCTAGGTGGACCTTGACCCTCTTGAGATCCCTGGAACTGGTGACCACAATTGTAGGATTTTTTTTTTTTTTTTTTTTTTTTTAATCTCCCAAGGCCCTTCCCAAAGAGTCTGGAATTGTCTGCATTCCAAAGAACCCAGAGATAGTATTTTGTCAGGTACAAACCTATTGTCCTGAACCAATAGAGGAAACAACCATTATCCTGACCATCTGAAATCTCGAGAAGAACAAACATATGAGAACCAGGAAAACTTGTCTTTGACACGGTAGAACCCACTTTATATGCTGAAATCAAATTTTGAATCAAGCCATTCCTTCACTAATGTGGAGAGGACTTAGCACTAAGCAAGAATAAGTTAGGCTAGAAGGCTACTGATTCTAAGTGTTGGCATCCACCAGTATAGTAATAATATCAACTAAGTGGCACTACATGCCCATTATTGTTTTTTCTCCAGCCCTCAAACATAATGATATGGTTTGGCTCTGTATTCCCACCCAAATATCACCTTGAATTGTAAGAATCCCCACGTGGTCATAGGAGGGACCCAGTGGTAGGTAATTGAATCATGGGGGCAGATTTTTCCCGTGCTGTTCTTGTGATTGTGAATAAGTCTCATGAGAGCTGATGGTTTTATGAAGGGGAATTCCCCACACACGCCCTTCTGTCTACCATCATGTAAGACGTACCTTTGCTTCTCTTTTTCTTTCCACCATGATTGTGAGGCCTCCCCAGCCATGTGGAACTGTGAGTCCAGCAAACCTCTTTCCTTTATAAATTACTGAGTCTCAGGTATGTCTTCATTAGCAGTGTGAGAACAGACTAATACACATAACAAGTGTGTTCACTGTCTTACTATCCACTTCATTGAGTTCTCTAATTGTAAGGACTACTCCTTATTTTATGTACTATGAACACAACCATCTTCACCTGACATATGGTAGTTTGCTTCTTGATGCATGTTGAATAAACAAAATCAATAATTAATATCTCATACATCGAATTAAAAGCTGCAATATAAAATTAAAAACTATAATGTAATTAAGAATGACATCCATAGAATTAGCTAATTCTATTATGTAACTAAATAATATCTTTAAAATAGGCAAATGAAACAAATAGCACCACTTGGGGACACTGAGTTGGGGTGAGGGGATGAGGTATACCTGTGCAGCATACAGTAGTATATCAAGAATACTGCCTGGTCTTGGGGTTCAGTTTGGGTCCTCAGCAGAGGAAGTCCTTTATGATCTTAAAGTCCAATGATGGGAAATAGATACCCAAAGTAGGTAAGATGGAAAGTTCCTAAGGTAAATAAGAAATACCGTATGTGGTTAAGAGTAAGGCAGACAGATGGGCTTGAATTTTGACTTTGCCACTTACCAGCTTACTGAGCTTAGGGAAAAACACTTAGCCTCTTTGTTCCTTAGTTTCTTTATCTGTAAAATGGGGGTTATAATTGTACTCATGTCATACGGTTGTTGCAAGGATTAAATGAGTTCATATAGTATATGATAAATACCTAGAGTGCTTTGTCCACGTAAGTACAGAATACATATTAGCTTTTACAATAAATACAGAACAATATAGAGCTAGAAGTACAGTAGGATATTTGGGGATGGCATCCATCATTTTTCAGCTGTGTGACCCTAGGTAAGTTAATCTTGATAAATTTTAATTTACTTCTGTATAAAGTAAGAATAATTAATTCTTACCTCTGAGGATTGTTGACAGAATTGCAGACAATGTGTGTAAACCCAGTGCCTGATGTGAAGCATTCAACATATAGGAGCTATACTGTCCCCTCTTTTATGTCTCAGAATGTAAAATATGAGACCTAACATGCAGTTGCTCTATATTAAGGGATACTTTTAACTTTACTCAATTCAATGTAAAAGTGTTTCTATTCAGAACTAACTAGAGAAAAAAGAACAATTTTCAATGCTGCAATTTAAACTCAGAAATAGTTGGTTCTGCAATTTTCAAACAGAGTGGCAGAAATTGGAACCAGGCAGAATACTACCCTCAAGTGCCTGAATGCCTTTATCTGGTGGCTGTGATGCAGCAGTTGAATAATGCAGGTGGAGCACTCACATGCTGTCTGGCTTACTATTAGCAGACAACAAATGGCAGTACTTTTTTCCTTCTTTTTCTAAGTGATCCCAGACAAGCACAAATAAAACTTTATTAGAGGTAGCAGAGTGTCTAAATCCTCTCTCTGTAAATGAACCTAACTTTTGCCAAATAGTGTCTACATGATGTCAGTGGAAATAAGGCCCCTAAAGCTAAAATATGCAAGCTTTATTTTTATTTTTTTTTAAGACAGAGTCTCATTCTGTTGCTGTTGTGGTTTGACTGTGTCCCTACCCAAATCTCATCTTGAATTGTAGTTCCCGTAATTCCCACGTGTTGTGGGAGGGACCCAGTGGGAGATAATTGAATCATGGGGGCCATTTCCCCCATACTGTTCTCATGGTAGTGAATAAGTCTCACAAGATCTGAGGGCTCTATAAGGGAAACCCCTTTTACTTGGTTCTCAATTCTCTCTTGTCTGCTGCCATACACGATGTGCTTTTTACCATTCATCTTCCACCATGATTGTGAGGTCTCCCAGCTACGTGGAACTGTGAGTCAATTAAACCTCTTTTTCTTTATAAATTATCATCTCAGGTAAGTCTTTATCAGCAGCATGAAAATGGACTAATACAGTAAATTGTGCTAGGTAGTGGGGTACTGCTATAAAGATACCCAAAAATGTGGAAGCAACTTTGGAACTGGGGAACAGGCAGAGGTTGGAACAGTTTGGAGGACTCGGAAGAAGATAGGAAAATGTGGGAATGTTTGGAACTTCATAGACACTTGTTGAATGGCTTTAATCAAAATGCTGATAATGATATGGATGATGAAATCAAGGCTGAGATGGTCTCAAATAGAGATAAGGAACTTGTTGGGAACTGGAGTAAAACTATGTTTTAGCAAAGAGACTGGTGGCATTGTGCCCCTGCCCTAGAGATCTGTGGAACTCTGAACTTGAGGGAGATAATTTAGGGTATCTGGCAGAATTTCTAAGCAGCAAAGCATTCAAGAGGTGACTTGGGTGCTGTTAAAAGCATTCAGTTTTAAAAGGGAAACAGCATAAAAGTTTGAAAAATTTGTAGCCTGACAATGAGATAGAAAAGAAAACCCATTTTCTGAGAAGAAATTCAAGCATGCTGCAGAAATTTGCATAAATAACAAGGAACCAAATGTTAATCACCAAGACAATAGGAAAAATGTCTACAGGGCATGTCTCTAGAGATCTTTGCGGAGCCCCTCCCATCACAGGCCCGGAGTTCTAGGAGGAATAAATCGTTTTGTGGTCTGGGCCCAGGGATCCCCCTGCTCTGTGCAGCCTAGGGACTTGGTGCCCTGCTTCCCAGCCACTCCAACCATGGCTAAAAGGGGCCAAGGTATACCTCAGGGCATGGCTTCAGAGGATACAAGCCCCAAGCCCTGGCAGCTTTCACATGGTGTTGAGTCTGTGGGTGCACAGAAGTCAAGAATTGAGGTTTGGGAACCTCCACTTAGATTTCAGAGGATGTATGGAGATGCCTGGATGTCCAGGCAGAAGTTTGCTGCAAGGGCAGGGCCCTCATGGAGAACCTCTGCTAGGGCAGTGCAGAAGGGAAATGTGGAGTTGAAGGCCCCCCACACAGAGTCCCCACTGGGGCACTGCCCAGTGGAGCTGTGAGAAGAGGGCCACCATCTTCCAGACCCCAGAATGGTAAATCCGACAACTTGCATTGTGCACCTGAAAAAGCTGCAGATGCTCAACAGCAGCCTATGAAAGCAGCTAGGAGGGCGGTTATACCCTGCAAAGCCACAGGGGCTGAACTGACAAAGGCCGTGGGAGCCCACCTCTTGTATCAGTGTGACCTGGATGTGAGACATGGAGTCAAAGATGATTTTGGAACTTTAAGATTTGACTGCCACACTGGATTTTGGACTTGCATGGAGCCTACAGCCCCTTTGTTTTGGCCAGTTTCTCCCAATTGGAATGGCTGTATTTACCCAATGCCTGTACCCCCATTGTATCTAGGAATTAACTTGCTTCTGCTTTTATGGGCTCAGGTGGAATGGACTTGCCTTGTCTCAGATGAGATTTTAGACTGCGGACTTTTGAGTTAATGCTGAAATAAGACATCGGGGTACTGTTGGGAAGGCATGATTGGTTTTGAAATGTGAGGACATGAGATTTGGGAGGGGCCAGGAGCAGAATGATATGATTTGGCTATGTCCCCACCCAAGTCTCATCTTGAATTGTAGCTCCCATAATTCCCACATATTGTGGGAGGAATCTGGTGGGAGATAATTGAATCACGGGGGTGGTTTCCCCTATACTGTTCTCATGGTAGTGAATAAGTCTCATGAGATCTGACAGTTTTATAATGGAAACCCCTTTTACTTGGTTCCCAATTCTTATCTGCTGTCATATAAGATGTGTCTTTTGCCTTCTGCTATGATTGTAAGGCCTCCCCGGTCACGTGGAACTGTGAGTACATGAAACCTCTTTTTCTTTATAAATTACCCAGTCTTGGGTATGCCTTTATCAGCAGTGTGAAAACAGACTAATTACAGTTTTTCAAGCTGGAGTGCAGTGGCAGGATCACAGCTCACTGCAGCCTCAACCTCCCAGGCTCAATCAATCCTCCCACCTCAGCCTCTTGAGTAGCTGGGACTACAGGTGCACACCACCACACTCAGCTTGTTTTTTGTACTTTTTGTAAAGAAAGGGTTTCACCGTGTTGTCCAGGCTAGTCTTGAACTCCTGGGCTCAAGTAATCTGCCCACCTCAGACTCCTAAAGCGCTGGGATTACAGGCGTGAGCCACTATGCCTGGCCTAAAACACACAAGCCTTAAATAAGTCAGATGAAATCAGAGTTGGAGAAAGAAACTATCAGAGTGACCTTTGGTGATATAAAAGTCCAGTGATTACTAAACTGCCCAACTCCTTGTGCTTTGTGATTAGGATGGAGGCTTCTCCATCTGTCCGAGTGATGCTATACATCTGTTTCGTAGCGCACAAGTTCCTTTACTGCAAAAAGAAAGTTCATGTCTTGGTAGCATAAATTCCAGAAAATAAAACTGCAGTAATTTCTTAAGAGTCCTCAGTCTTAGAGGCCTTCCCAGATGGCCTCCAGGAGTTAACACAGCTTCCTAATTACCAGAAACCATGTGAACTGCATGCACTCTTACTGTACAGGTAGCATCTAAGACAACTAAGATAAATGGACTTCTTTAAGTTCTCTTTAAAGTAACTCTGCAAAATGTTTACAACTTTAATAATTTATATGGGGCATAGTATCTAAGGTCTATAATGGCCTCTCTAGGTATTGTACTCAAAGGAGAGTTATTATTGTTCTCTGTCAAATTATGCTAAAAATTGGTTCACTCACGGAATTTTTTTTCTTTTTTTTTTTTGAGACGGAGTCTTGCTCTGTCACCTGGGCTGGAGTGCAGTGGCGCGATCTCAGCTCACTGCAACCTGCGCCTCCTGGGTTCACGCCATTCTCCTGCCTTGGCCTCCTGAGTAGCTGGGACTACAGGCACCCCCTAATTTTTTAAATATTTTTAATAGAGATGAGGTTTCATCGTGTTAGCCAGGATGGTGTCGATCTCCCGACCTTGTGATCCACCTGCCTTGGCTTCCCAGAGTGCTGGGATTACAGGTATGAGCCACTGTGCCCAGCCCACTCGGGGAATCTTTTTAAAAATAGTCTGACTTAATCTCTGTCTCAGTCAAGTTTCACTTGAAAATCAGGCATGAGAGTCCCAATGAAATTTCAAAAACATAACTCATTTTCAATTTTCACTTGACTTTGCTATTTCACTTGACTTTGCTATTTCACTTGACTTTGCTATTTCACTTGACTTTGCTACAGGCAATTAGTCTCTCTCCAGAACCCTGAGGGCAAATCTGTCTTTCCTGACATTAGGATGGTGGGAGGGAGCTACAGAGTGTACCCCTCCACACATTTACTCGTGAGGCTTGGCATCAGGAGAGTACATCCAGCATGTTCAGGGAAGGGCATCCAGTTCTGCTCCCCATCATTCTTGGCTCCCTGCTCATGTCTGCTGGAAGGGTTAGGGTTCTGAAACCACTTTTGCAAAACTTATGACAGTGAGAGAAATCTAACATAGCAGACTCCATCTTGCTTCTAACCTCACAAGCTTATTGCCCTTGCTCATTCCTGAGTGTAGGCCAAGCTAACCATGGGAGGAATTTATTGTTTAACATTAAAGCAAGGAAGATAATTGCCCCTTCCCAAAACTACCCTCCTCCTAGTTCAGGCACTAAAACCACCTTTGCAAAATGAATGAAAGGCCAAAATGTTAGAATTATGGGAGGAGCCTGAATTCTGCTAAGACGTATGCATAGTTCAGTGATAACCAGCCATGTTCCCTAGCTTGCTTACTACTCAGGAGTCATGTAGCCAGAGGTCACAAGAGTTGTAACTTTCTCAATTGTTCCTACAGATAACATCTCTATTGTAAAACCTAAGATTGTTGTTTGAGATCTTTTTCAGACATTTGCATCCTGATGAACTGACACCACTTGGACCCATGACTCATACCAAGGAAATTAATCAACTGGTCCTGTAACTCCCACCCAGAAGCTGACTCGGTGTGCGAAGACAGTTCCAGCACTCCTGTGATTTCATCCCCAACCAATCAGTAGCACCCATTCCCCAGCCCCCTGTCTGCCAAATTATCCTTTAAAAACCTTACCCTCTGAGTTCTCAGAGAAGTGGATTTGAGAAATATCTCCCACCTTTTTTTCTTTTACAACTGGCAAATATAAGTGAGTCTGTAGCCATACCAGACCAATCTGACCCAACTTTTATGTAACAAAGTAGTACATTGTTTTCCAGTTGCCATGGACCCTCAGGTCATGTAACCTGAGCATGCCCAGATGGACCAAGTGTTCAAACACAGAGGGAACTAATTGCTCAGACTCAGGAGTGGGAACTGAATTAAAGAAGTGGACATTGCATGGCAGGATCCAGAATCCAAATGGAGTGAGCTTTGACATCACCCCATGGCAGGATCCAGTTAGATCATGCCTTCCGACATCTCCTCATTACAAGATCCAATCAGATCATGCCTTATTACCCTATGCTTATAAAACCTGACCCAGCCCCCTGCTCAGGGAGACACTGCTTTGGGGACTATCCCTGGTGTTCTCCTTACTCCTTATAAATAATAAAATCCCCTTGCTAAATCTTCCTTGGTTGTGGTCATTGGGTTGACACCCACCAAGTGACCAAACCTGCCTGTTGTGTGGGCAATAAGTCCTTCCTGAATTACTCTATATGGGAGTCCCAGCATTTAAATTTTATCCTACTGTATGTGAGAGAAATTGCTTTTTTAAATTCACAATGCTACTGCATTCACCAAATGATAATCTCTCTACTGGAACTTAGCACACCTGCCCAAAACAGGAAAAACCTAAGGACACTTCCTTTACTTGTTTTCTATGGCAATAAATACTGAAATAATTAATTATATGTCTGATGTAGAAATGAATAAAGACAGATACAGAAGCGTGTTTAGGCTTCATCCAAGAAACCTTTCCCCTTTTAATCAGTTTGCTCCCTCTCACAGTTTTTTCTTCTCAGACTTGGCTCACTATAATCTGGAATGTACTTTTTAATATTTTGGTTTTCCATGAAAAATCTTACAGCCCAATAGTACCCTGCACAAGGCTGGGAAATCAATAAATGGTTTTTGTAATGAGTTAATTTATTTAGTCTAGAATGATTTCTTTTGTAGTGAAATTTCAGTTGAAGACTTCTAATCAAGAGTTGTTTTGTTCTCCTCAATAACAAGATTAGAAGGTGTTTTCTTTCTTTCTGGCAGAATAAAATCTGCATGTCCTGGTGAAAGCTTAGGAAAGGTATAATTGATGTATTTTTGAAATGCCATCCTGGTTTCCTGTAATTCCTCCTCTAGGAAATCTTTCCAATTTGTCATGATTCCCAGTTGTTTTGCTATAGACAGCAGCTCCCCCTGGGTGTTGGCCAGTGTATCCATCACATTGCCAAGAGTGGCCTGATGTGTTTTCTCTGCTTCTTGAAGCACTTCCTGTACCTCTTCTTGCTTCTGCCTCTGAGCTATGCCATAGAGGACGTTCATTTCATGTTCTTTTTCCCTCATCAGTCGGGCCACACTGGTCTTCTCATCCTTAGTAACTGTGATACCAGTATTCACAATTTCCTCCGTGGCTTTGCTACAAAGGATAATATGGATTTATAAGTTAGATGGATTGGCCACTAAAAACAAAATAATTTCATCTTTAAACACAGATGACTGAGTAATTGTTGAGATGAGCCACCAGCCTGAGACAGGCTGATACAGATGAGCTTTTGGATTGCATTAGCTGTTAACAAACAAAACATGTTTTCAGAGCAAGGACGCTTCCTATGTACTTACCTGCTGTGGGTTAGGGTGAGGCCACTAATCTAACATCTAATGGCAACTTTAGAAACCTGAGACCACCTTTTTCAGGAAAATATACATGCATTGTGCTTAAAAATGAGGAGATAGGGTCAGAGTTCCAAACTCTGTAGAGAAAGTATTTCTTTATATTAATCCAGCTGCTGACCTTTAGCCAGAGATGAAAAAACTTTATACTCACAGCATAGATTTAGCTTTAATCTTGATTTTTATCTGAGCAATACTCTATGACAGTCACCTCAAACTTTTTGGTCTCGGGAACTCTTTACACTCTCAAAATTATTGAGGAAACCAAAGAGCTTTCATTTATACGAGTTATAGGTACTGACATTAACAGTTATATAAACGAAAAGGGAGACATTTTAAAAATATTAAAAATCTCTTACGAAAAACATTTTCCAAAACGATGAAATATTTCATGAGAAGAATGGTATAATTTAACTTTTTTTTTTTTTTTGAGACAGTGTCTTGCTCTGTCACCCAGGCTACAGCACAATGGCCTGACCCTGGCTTACTGCAACCTCCAGTTCCCAGGTTCAAGTGATTCACATGCCTCAGCCTCCAGAGTAGCTGGGATTACAGGTGTGCATCACTACACCCAGCTAATTTTTATATTTTTAGTAGAGATGGGATTTCACCATGTTGGCCAGGCTGGTCTTGAACTCCTGACCTCAAGTGATCCACCCGCCTTGGCCTCCCGAAGTGCTGGGATTACAGGTATGAGCCACTGCACCCAGCCTAATTTTAATTTTTTTTTTTGCAAAACTCTTTAATCTCCAGCTTAGTAAAAGCTGAATTTTCATACTGTTTCAATTTATTGTGATATCACATATCACAAAACCCTGGAGAACACTATTTTATATTCATAGGAGACTAAGAGTGAAAAAGGCAAATAAAGTCTTAGTGTTATTAAGAAAATAGTTTTAATCTCATGGACTGCCTCCGTAAAGAGTCTCAGGGACCTTGAAGGGTCTCTGGACCACACATTCAGAAGCACTGCTAAATGATTAATAGACTTCTGGCTATAATGTAGGGAATTATATATAATTTATAGCAGCCAACCATGTTGACCTCTTACCATGTCCAAGCAGGTTAATGAGCATTCTATGCATACATTAATTCAATGAATCCTCAAAAACAATTCTGTAGTGTGGTTCCATTACTATGCTCTTTTTATGAAGAAGACATTGAGCTCAGGGAGTTAAGTAATTTGTCTAAGTTTGCTTAATAAGCAAAAGAGGCAAAATCTGCAACACAACTCAGGCAGTCTGAGTCCAGGACAAAAGCTCTTAGCCACTGTGATACATTTCCGGTGGATTTCTGCAGTTAACACAGTTTGAGCAGAACCTCAAAGATTTGAGGTTTTAAGATCTCAAATGTATGATTGTTAATAAAAATCCTCCCCCTCTGCCTCCCAGTCTAATACAGCCTTTCCAAGATTTACCACTGGCCCAATCTCCTAAATTCCATCCTCCAAGATGCAATTCTCTCATCTTCTCTGAGTCTTTCCACTTGACTTTCAAACCTGACAGACTTCCCTAGTCTTGAAGTAAATCACATGTTTCTTTAGCCTCTGTAGCCACTAAACTATTTCTCTTCTTCCTTTTCCCACCAACTATTTCCAATATTAATAACAAGGGTAATGATTTTTGAGTGCTTACTGTATTGCAGGAACTGTGGTAAGCATTTTACATGCATGATATCTCATTTAATTTTCACAATAACCCATTGAAGCTGATATTTTATTTATTTATTTAGAGATGAATCTTGCTCTGTCGTCCAGGCTGGAGTGCAGTGGCACCATCTTGGCTCACTGCAACCTCCGCCTCCCAGGTTCAAGTGATCCTTCTACCTCAGTCACCCACGTATCTGGGATTACAAGTGTGCACCACCACACATGGCTAACTTTTGTATTTTTAGTAGAGACACGGTTTCACTATGTTGGCCAGGCTGGTCTTGAACTCCTAACCTTAAGTGATCCACCCTCCTCGGTCTCCCAAAATGCTGGGATTACAGGTGTGAGCCACCGTGCCCGGCCTATTTTTATTTATAACCTGTGACTATTCCCTTGTAACAGGTGGGAAATGGTGGCTTAGAGAAGAGTGAGTTGTTCAGTGTCACACAACTGAGCAAGCTGGAGAGTTCCTGCCCTTAATCATTACCTGCTTCAAGCTCGAGTGGGCACTATAAATTTTTTGTCAGGAGGGCAGCACAATGAAAATAACATTTTAGACTTGTTATTCAGGTAACAGTGGGTGAACTGAATCTTAGTGGGGTGAGCTAGAGAGACCAATTGTATCATTTCATAATATTCTTGAGGTGCAACGATGAGGGTCTGAACTAATGACAAAAGAGAGGGTTGGGAAGAGGAAGAGAAAGGGTTAAGCCTAGGAAATATTAAAAAGTCATAGCTGCCAGAATCTGTGACTGCAAAGATACAGGGGATGTGGGAAAAAGAGGAATCGAAACCAACTTGCTAATTTTCAACCTGGGTCACGGGGGAATGGAGGTTCCATTAATAGAAGTGATGCTGTGTATAGAGTGGGCAGTGTGCATCGACACACATTCTTAGGATTTAGTCTGATGTCTGATAACATCCTCAGGCTGTCGATGAGATTGTCAGGGTGATGACCAGGGACCAATCTCCAAAGAGGAAGCTGTGCTCCCTGTGTCCTCTGACACAAGCAGGCATGAGTTTCCTGCCAAGTGGGGCTGACTCTCCTCTCACTCAAATGGGAGGTTTCATTTACGGGCTAACTGGAAGGTTCTACCAGAATTGAGCTCAGGTAAAACTGATCCAGTAACATATATCTCGGATGACTCCAGCTCCCAACCTCAATGACAGTCCCTTTCAGACTCCCTGATATCAAAATATCTTACTGCTATACAGAATCTGGTACTTAAAAAATCTTTCCAACTTTTCTTTCTTCTTTTTTTTTTGGTTTTAAACAGGGTCCCACTCTGTTGCCCAGGCTGGAGTGCAGTGGTATCATCTTGACTCACTGCAAACTCTGCCTCCTGGGCTCAAGCAATCCTCCCACCTCAGCCTCTGGAGTAGCTGAGACTACAGGCATGTGCCACCATGCCCAGCTAATTTTTGTATTTCTTGTAGAGACAGGGTTTTGCCATGTTGGCCAGGCTCGACTCAAGTGATCCTCCTACCTCAGCCTCCCAAAGTGCGGGGATTACAAGCACAAGCCGCCGCGCCCAGACCCAACTTTTCCCAGCCTGCCTTAGTGCTTGAATATTTGATCCTTTGGTTTAAGGTCTGAGTGACTCTGAATTTCATTCTGATGAGTTCCCTGAAGTTGTGGAATTAAAGCCAGGAGT